AGTTCTTTTACATCAGAAATGCCTTTAATTTTAATCCACAAAAACATCCCAGCGGTAGGCGCATGCCACTCCGCCAAACCATTTAACCACTTGTCCGCAGCTGCCAACACGGCGTCTTTCTGGTTCCTGTAGAAATCAATAACCCGGCGCACGTGAGCCAGGAAGCCCTCTTCTCCCCACCGGTGTAGGAGCTGGGATACCATAAACTGGTTAAAAGTGCTGGCGTGTACAGATGACGCTTCCGTGTGAAAAACAACTCTCTCTATCAAGGGTTTCGGGCCGGTTAAAAAGCCTACTCTCAACCCAGAGGAGAGGACTTTGGAAAAAGAGTCCGCTCTGATGACACGCCCATCCACATCCATGGACAGAAAGGTCGGTGCCCAGGTCTCATTAAATTGGAGAAAGTAGTAAGGATCATCTTCTACTATGAGGAAATCATATTTTCTTGCAAGCTCGTAGATTTGCTTTTTGCGGTCACTAGTTAATGAGTTTCCAGTAGGGTTGTCGCCATTTGGGACAGTGTAGAGAAACTTGGGGGTGTTTTTCTCGGGGTTCTTCGAATCTTCCGGTTTCCACTTGGAAAGTATTTCTCTGAGGGAGCCCGGGATCATCCCGTGCTGGTCACTGGCCACGCTGATCATGTTGCAGCCCAGTGGCTTCAGAGCTTGAAGTGTTCCTCCATAGATAGGTTCATTTAGGAGAACATTATCTCCGGGGTTAAGGATCATCTCAAACACCTTACAAAGACCATCCTGGCTGCCACTCGTGACACATATGTCCATTTGTCCCTGACTGGGTGGATAATGGACGGTGGGAGGATTATGCAATCTTACTTGGAACTGTTTCAGCCAGGACAACAGCTCCGGAATCCCAGCACTCTGAGAATACTGCAGCGCTTTCTCCATCATCTCTTCTCCAAACTGGATGGTCGTTCCATCTTCCACGGTGATAGCGGCGGCCTTAAAGGGGAACAAGCTCGGATTTGGCGCTCCAGTAGCCAAGGAAATGACCGACTTGGGTGCCTTGATCAATTTACCAGTCACGGCCCGGATGGGAGACGACGTCCTGGACGCGCTGACCGCCGTGAGAAACCGCGCGTAGTTCATGCTTGCAGCCGCCCGGAACGAAATCTTCCCGGCCGCCGCCTGGAGAAACGGGATGGAGGGTCTGTCCCGCCGCTTCTGCGCCCCGCAACCCGCCCCGACACGCTCCGGACCCCCGGAACGCCCTCGCCCCGGGACCCGCCCCTGCCGCGGCCAATGAGCGCCGGCCGCGCCCCCAGCCCCCGGGTCCCGGTCTCGGGTCACCGCCCTGGGCGCTCGGCAGGTGAGGGGCGGCACGGTCACGAGGCCCTTGCGGCTGCCCCGGACGCTGCCTGAGTCAGCTCGGCGCGGGCTGCACCGTGGACCTCGCGGCGCAGACGGCGCCGGCGTGAGTCAAGGGCCATAATCCCACTCGTAGACAGGAACATAAAATTAACAGTGTTGTAAATGCATAGTGATATGAATGCAGAACTCTGTATCACATATTTCTCTTGGCATATGAAGGCTTAAGCAGGGAAGCAGTATTTAAACTTGGTCTTTCAGTCTGAATAGGAGTTAGAGCGGAATTTGTGACTTTTTAGAAGGACTAGAATTTACTAAGGGGCTTGGGATTGATAAATGGTATTTTATACGTATATCCATCTCCCTGGATTGCACGTGTCTTGGTCCTTGAATACCTGAGGCTGGTACTGTATAAAGAGAAGACATGTATTTGGCTCACATTTTGCAGGATGTCGAAGAAGCATCGTCGCTGCGTCTGCTTCTGATGAGGGTCTCGGGAAGCTTTCATTCCTGCAGAAATTTCCGGGAAACTGACGTGTCACGTGACTAGGGGAAGCTCAGGAGAGAGGAGGAGGAGGAGAGTACCGGGCTCTTTTAAACCACCAACTCTTATGTAAATTAATAGAGAACTCATTATCGTGGGAAGGCACCAGACTATTCATGAGGGACCCACCCCGTGACCCAAACTATTTTAGTGTGTGTGTGTGTGTGTATATGTATAAAAATTGTATTTATGTGTCCATATTCTCTTCTATGACAATCAGTATCCCTTAATTTTTAGGCTGTGTGTGTGTGTGGAAGAGCAGACAATACAGAAAGGTTGTCCCACAGAGTCTGACTATCTCAGGACAATAGGAAGCAGGAGAGCCTAATCTGCTTTTTTGTTTGCTTTTTTGAGACAGTGTCACTTTGTGGCCCTTGGTAGAGCGCTGTTCTGTCACAGCTCACAGCAACCTTAAACTCTTGGGCTTAAGCGATTCTCTTGCCTCAGCCACCTGAGTAGCTGGCACTACAGGCCCCAGCCACAATGCCAGGCTATTTTTAGACAGCTGTCTGCTCTGGCTCAACCTCGTTGGAAACTGTGAGCTCAGGCAATCCACCTGCCTCAGCCACCTGAGTAGCTGGCACTACAGGCCCCTGCCACAATGCCAGGCTATTTTTAGACAGCTGTCTGCCCTGGCTTAGGCTTGTTTCGAATCTGTGAGCTCAGGCAATCCACTAGCCTCCCAGAGTGCTAGGCATAAGCCACTGCACCCAGCCTTCTGATCTGGTTTAACTGCACCCAGCCTTCTGATCTGGTTTTTAAAAGACTTTACTGGCTGGGCGGCTCACTCTGTAATCCTAGCACTCTAGGAGGCCGAGGCAGGTAGATCACCTGAGTTCAAGAGTTCAAGACCAGCCTGAGGCTCAGTGGCTGTAGCTCAGCCACATACAGCAGGGCTGGAGGGTTCCAACCCAGCCCGGGTCTGCCAAACAACGACAGTTACCACAAAAAAATAGCTGGGCATTGTAGTGGGCATCTGTGGTCCCAGCTACTTGGGAGGGTGAGGCAAGAGAATCTCTTAAGCCCAAGAGTTCAAGGTTGCTGTGAGCTGTGATGCCACAGCAGTCTACTAAGGGAAATATAGTGAGACTCTGTCTC